TGGGAGGATCCGTTTATCTGTTTCTAGTTTTCGTAATTTCTTGAGTCTTTGATAATATTTTGTCTGTAACCTGTAGGCCACGAGATGCAGTTGGTACCTTCTTTACCTATTGTTGTCAAGAAATCGTAGATGCTTATTTATGAATGATGTGACTTATTAACAGACGCCTTTTTCCTTCAAAGAATATAATTATTATTAATCAAATTTAAACGAGTTAAATAGAACGACAATATTATTTAATCTCGAAGTTTTCTATAGATACATCTTTATTACTGATATGCTTAAAAGTTATCCTTCCATCTTCTATTACTGTACTTTATTTAAATAATACAGTCTGGAGCGATTAAGGTGCAAAGTTACGTAGTTTGTTCAAAAATTTTGGCAAAACAATAGAATATAAAAGAGTTTCTTGATGCTGCGCGTTATTTTTTAAGGAGGCGGGCAGTATTTGAAAAGTTGTTAAATATCAACCTCAGGACAGTTGAAGTGTGGTGTGAGTGAGTCGTATAATTTTGTATAATTTTTATATAACTTATGTTAATCAGGGTATAAAACATTTGTAAAGTCTATTTAGATGATTTCCCAAAGCGCGCGTTTCACCGACCCGGCTACCTCTGGAACATCTCACAACAATAACTATATGATGTATATTTTGGGAGCGCTTCAGATGAATCTTTATTATTCGCCTCTTATCGAACACTTGAAAAATATATTATAATAAATTTATCTATATTAATAGAAACTATTATATTCATATATTGCTCAATAAATCATTTACCGCAGTAAAATTTGAACAACGAATTCTTTAAAACAAATTTTAATTCATGAAAGATTTTTCTGGAGACAAATAATTGTGTTTAAATGTAATATTTATAAGAAAATATAGGTTTTTTCACCGAAATGTTAATTAGTGAGTTTCAAATAATTTTAAAAAAGTATGGAAATTTTTCGATTCATACATATAAAAATGATTTTCTATGCTCGCCTTAAGTTATATGATATTGTACACAGTCAGCGTGCATGCTATTTATAATGTGAAGGTCATAAGTATGATGCTGGTATTAAAATCTCCACAACTCGTGTTGTCCGCTGTACGGCAGGCTTACTTACTGATTTCCCTTGAGCACCTCGCCGATATCACTTCCAATTTTACACCTACCTAGCTTACCTTTGTTTTTGTTATCTAAAATTAAAATTAAATTTATAAGGTGTCGCTTTACTACGTGCACGTGTGTACATTATCTAACTTGTTTATAGAGTTAAAACATTGATTATTCAGTCTTTTAGAGGCTAGGATAACGACTTCGATATATTTATTTATGTATATAATTAGAATAACAAAATGACGTTTGTATTCGTAAGCGGTAGCTGGTGAACGTCATGAATAAACAATGTCTCTGCTTTGGTTGTACTTAATGGAAAATAAATTAACTGGCGACTGTTGAATCTTGTGAGATTCCACATCAGTCGATACATTAGCTAACCGCCGGTTAAATTTAACTTTCTAAAACAACAATTAAGCTTTGTTTCATAACGTTTTGTCCTAATGTTCTCTGTAACAGTTTTACAAGTGCTTCGTTAGCCATCTACGTGCTTTGTTTAAAACTAGTGTGAAAGACCTAAATCTGACTCGTTGTATGGAAAAACAATATAAATATGATTGTAGCTTAATCAGTTAGTAATTTGGTATGAATATAACAATATTAATTTGCTGGTAATTATTATATATATAACCTAAAGCGGTGTTCAATTAAATTAATTAAAGGAACAAAAATATTGTACCATTTCTTTTGCATATTGGCTGTTTTAGGAAAAAAGAAACTTTCTGGCTTCGTTAATAAGTTATTTATTCTTAATATTTATCGTTTAATTATAATAAAACAAAGAACCAGGCTCTAAGGCGTGTAATGAATCTGGAATATATATATTTTTAATATTTTCTTCAATGTAAACGTGTTTTTGTTTTAAAAACAATTGCGAGTACGGCTTTGTTTTAAGTTATACAGAACGATATGCAAAATACACAACTACCACCTTTTATCCGGTTACGAAGTATTTGCATACCCAAACATCTTTTAAAAACAACCCTCAATTTGGCGTCGTAATTTTTAGAGCTCATATTACATATTCATTTTAGAAATCACTTTGAATAACAAATTTAAATATTCATAGGCATTTCTTAGTCTAAACAAAAATTTAAGATTTCACATAACATTTTCTATTTCAGTAACTTAGAAACATAGTGATAGGTATATACTGTAAATTAGTCGAGTGGTGGGTGATAGTTAGAAACGGAACGGTGAGTACCATTGTGTATCATTATAAAAGACACAATGACAGCACTTCAGCTAATTTGGATTCAATGAACAGTCAGTTATCGACCGCTTTTCCATCGCAAATTGAAAGTACAGCAGACAGAGTCGGTATAAAGCTTACACGCGAATGGACTACATACATTTCATTGACTCTTGCTGATTTGAAAGATAAAATGTCCCTCGAAACTGAATTCATGGTATAAAAAGTTGTGGAAATATATTTGTTAGTTATATTAGAAAAATGCACTTACCTTTCGTTTTATAGATAACAGATGTGTGTAGACAGATCATTACGAGTAAAGAAATTTGAATTCTAAGGTGCATGTTATATAGTCTATTTCACATTATTAGCTTGGCTGGTACAATATTTGCTGATCCAACCTTTATAGTCGACAGTCGCTTTGGGAATATAATGGCAATGCGACTGTTAACGATCTACTGTGGTTGCTAGTTATTGAAACGGTGGACTTGTGATGGATAGTAGGAAGAAATTCATTATATATTTATTCTTCATTTATTGCATTTTCCCCAAAATCTATTAAGTTAAAAAATAAAAAGTTATTGGAATATCTCGAACGAAATGAGAAAAATTGAAAACTGTTAGATGTCATCCTAAAATAATAACCGACTGCTGTTGGCAGGTTTGTTTGCTGACTGTACAGTGTACAGTGACCGCCCGCTGGGGAGGAAATATCTTTTCTCATTCTTGGATTTATCGCAATAACAATAATTTGTAGCAAAAAAAAGGACAAATCAGACGACATCGGCGAATTACAATATACAAAGATACAACCTCCGTATCACAGTCATATGAAGAGATGAAAAAACATATTTATTGTGTTCATTACAGATAGTTTATGTAGATAAATAATACATTTTAATTGGTTTCATTTCAACATGAGTTAAATGTACAGAAAAAAATACTAGCCCAGTTTTCGTAAGAGCAGAACAAACATAACTCCATCCATCTATCCTCTCAATCATTACCAATAGAAGCAGAATATTAATAACTCACATTATAATAGAATAGTAATAGCTATTTAATAGATAGTTCAGTAAAGTCATTGTCTGATAATTATGCAAACGATGTCGCCTATTCAGCAATATCATTAGCCATATCAGCAGTTCAAAGTGTATGCAATTTTCACGAAACTATGACAACGCGTTATGAGTCCAACAAGTTTATTACATTTAACTATTGAATAATAAACGAGCAGGCAGCCCCGAGACGTGATCCTCCCGCCGCGGTACGTGGGTAGCCTCAGCAATCACCGACGAAGGAACAATGCAACGTTACCCAAAACATACCGAAATTGCACTTTATCACCGCATACCTAAATCTATTTTCATTTAAAACCAATTCCAAGTTGATCCGTTCTGGTAAGAAAAGTTTTTAAAGTTGAGGTTTCCCCAATTTTCTGGGTAATTCTCTCGGTCAGGATGCCTATTGTAAAATGAAAATGTGTGCTGGATAGTCAAATGGGGATGTAATTTATGATAATTTAGGGACAGCGTTAAAATACGAAAGTTAAGGGCCAATGAATTGTAATAGCTTTGTGATGTATTGGAAAACTTAAATTAACTTTATATACACGCTTTATACAGATAGTTATTTTATATTTTTATTATATTTTGATATATTGTGAAGATATTATAGTTATACGGTCATATATAAAGTGGACATCATAAAACGTGTATTATCTATCCAAATTTACATAAATACATATAATTCAGTTGTCCCAATTATCATAAACACGTATGCTGTTGTATCGGTAGGGTATTTGTATCTTATAAGTGTTAAAATAAGAATATTATTTTCCTCGATCAAATAATTGATAGTAAATTTAATGAAATAAATAAAGAAAAATAAAGTAAACAAACAAGACGGTAAATTTCGGAGCATCGTAACAAATATTTGTACAAGTAATGTCCGTTCCGATGTGAAAGAAAATAAGCCAAAACCTTTACAGTCTTCACTCTCTTCTAATACGCGTTACAACCATCCTTTATTGTTTTTTACTTCCCTTTGTTCCACCTCGTATTAATATAACATCGGACGGTATAAATTATGTACAGATATATTTTATTCTCGTTCCCGTGTGATCGTTTTTCCTCTATATGTTTTTTTACTATTTCCTGTTAAGTATTAAAGGATCTGTTGTGTGTTGGATCAGATTATCTTATTGAATTTCTTATAACCGAAGCGTATATTATAAAAGCAAAAATTACGAAATGAGATCAAAGTAGCTTATCCTATATCCGATAAGTAACGCCGGCGTCGATGTTGCGAACGCATACATAAATTATTATTATTACTAAAATGAAATTTTGAAATGATTCTAACAAACACCAAAATATATTTGTTGCATATTCATAAACATGTACATATATTGTTTTTCGAGTATCTTTCTTTTAAACCAAATAAAAGCAGTAATTATTAGGTAATTTTATATTTCATATCATATTAACTTTATAAATCAATACATATGTATATTAAATTAAGAGTTTCAATTTTAAAACAAAGCTATCTTTATCAAAGTCAAAGAGATTTATTTATAGCAATTGTACAAAAGAACATAAGTAATTTATGTTTTATTGGGTCACATACAGCTCCGGCCGCTATATTAAAAGGGCTGTAAAAGTAAGACAAGTAACCTTCAAAGCAAAGTAAGATAATAATCTAGAATGGAGTCTTCATATACGTTACCGCAAGGTAAAAGACGTGACCTGACTGCAATACCACAGGCGGCTCCCGAGATGCTCCTACCAAAGTAATTTTATATAGCCACTGGTTGACAGCGAGCACAAACCAAATATTGGCTATAGAAAATCTCCTTTAGTTACATTTTTCTATCCACTGTTATTTTTAGAACATTCAAAATTTTTTAAATAGATTCTTTTTGGTTTTTCGCTGTTAAAAATAGACTAGATTCTACGCCAAGGACCGTTAACATCGATTCAATAAAATAACTATGTTTTCATGGCATTTGTATAATTCAACAAAAGAATATTTTTATATCACTAATAAAATAGTTTTTGGTCACGGATTATAAGGAAGGCCGGGAGCTATAGTATGTTTGCCACGTTTTAGATTGTCTTTTTAAGCCCAACCTCCGTAGCAACTGTGAGAGAATTGAGAACTTGAAGGATATCATCTTTAATATACGTAGTTTGATTTTCTTTATAGAATTGAAATTATAAGTCAAAATTAAGTGATAAATTCACTTCATTTTCATATAAATTACTAGCTTTCCGCCCGCAGCTTCGCCGCGTGGAGTTCGGTTATATCGCGTTTCCAAGAGAACCTTTCAAAAGTCTGGGATAAAAACTATCCTATGTTCTTTCTCAAGGTCAACTCTATCTCTGTACCGAATTTCATTAAAATCAGTTCAGTGGTTTAGGCGTGAAAGCGTAGCAGACAGACAGACAGACAGACAGACAGACAGACAGACAGAGTTACTTTCGCATTTATAATATTAGTAGGGATTTGACCAAGTAAGCACTTTAAGTTCTATAATGAGGTCGGAACTTTGAAATTGTCTTAAAGATTTCGCAAAACATCCGGAACTAAAAGTTTAAGTTTATTTAGGAAATGCAATTTATTTGAAGTCTCAAAAGATGCTTTTATATTTATAGCATTATTTCTTCTCTATTTTATTGTTATTTCTTCAAATCTACAAAATCGACAAATCATTTAAAATCAGAGTTTTTGTTCACGACGTATTTCGTTAGAGTTTGGCGGATCTAAATACTTATTGTAACTTTAAGACCAGACAACCTTCGTTCTGTTATGTGAAAGATGTCATTCTTAGTTTTGGCTAAGGTTTACAGCTCGTTCTTAATAGTAATTAACCAAAATAGGGAACAATTATATTATCAATGTAAACTGTATTGACGCTGAACCTAAAATAATAATAAAAATATAATAAAATGTAGCCTTAAATATTCAAAATATTAAAACAGGTGTCTAACCGTTTTCAATTTAAAGCGTGACCAGATGAAATATTAGTTAATATTTACATATACATATGTATAAATAGATATAAAATACATTGAACATTTTCTAGCTTGATAGTACTGTATAATCCTATTATAGCGTCCTTAGCCATCCCTTACTCTTGTTATGGTTCGTAATTAATAGTTATTTTCCCAGCGTAATACTAATCTGCGCTTGTATTGAAATCCCAGGAGTTGTCTTCCTTTATTACAGTCTCTCAAAGGCGTTTAAGGGACAGGAATGAAGTCGCTTCCAATTAACTCGCTACACGTTAGTTAGACCAAAGACTAAACACAGATAAATACCCATAATATAGACGTGGGTACAATTTATCGAGTATTACAATAATGCAAGTAGCTTGATGATGAAATATTCCAAATCAGGCTGTTCCTATATTATTAATCTGGAAATATTTCTATTAAGCCACGTTGAATTATTTTGATTGATTATCTTCGTCGTGTATGTAACATAATTATTTCATTAAATACTTAATGTATATCGTATAAATTAGACTCGGATATCAAATATGTGTATAGTTCAAGCTATGATCGGATTAATTAGACATTTACGTCCTTAGAGGTTGTACCGTGGACATTATAAAGGTGAACATAAAGCTTTATTGTTGGCCATGATAACATCGGGGTTTGAATAAAATCATAATTTCATTCCGATGGTCCCTTTTCAGGAGCGAGTTCCTAAAATGCGTCTTTATATTCGCAACAATGATATTATCTATTGTGTATGGCATTAGTTTGTATTTGTAAAGGGTTCTGGCTTGTTTGTGTAATATTTATTTGTCCAACTTCGGCCACAGATAAGACTTAACCGAATGGATTGGTTGGATCTCTCCCATAGCACATTTATAGACTACCAAGTACATTTTTAATGAAAGCGAGCGCGTCTTCTTTGTATAATTATTGGTACGTAGTTCAAATCTAGATAAGCTGCACTGGAGGCTGAAGATATTCCAAGCAGAAGCAGTATTTTTGGTTTAGAATTCCTACGCTTTACCGTTGCCAAGTTGTTGGGCAAAGCGTTTGGATTCTAAAACGAAAACACTCGCGCACCTTGCGAAGTTGAAGATCGGAAGACAGAGAAGAAAATCCTGATCATGGATCTGTTTGAATTTTAATATACATTCACTCGCCAACAGTCGACGTACGAGTATATGGTTGTAAATATGCTCTCTTTAGTCGCGACGCCATATTAATTTCTTTTCTCACATTAAAGGCCTTTTCGGTTAAGTTCAGCGAGTCGTTTGATTTGTTTCATGTTTAGAAGATTTCTTTACATTGGCTCAGTCTCGTTAAAATAGAATTGGTTAACAAATGAACTAATAAAGGAAAAAGAAAAAGCATAAAAAGTAGAAGTAGCAACCAAAGAAATATGAATTTAATTCATAAAAAAAAAACAAATAATAAATCAACCAAGATGAAAATAAAACTTTTTATTCCGCAAAATTCAGAGCAGACCTACTTCTAAAGCAAATAATACTCGCACGAACTCGCAAGAAAAGAATATTTCAAGTAAAGAAAAATTTTATTAGTAAAAATACAGAAAGTTACACTAAAGACGGGAGAATTTACTTTTAAAACTTCTCAACTCATTTGCGCTTTGTATTTAATTCGCTAAAACGCCAACTTAAATGAGATTGCGAGTATGATGCAGTCAGAACCGTCTAGTCTAGTACAGTTTACTTTATCTAAATGCTTTAACGCTAAATTAAATGTTGTAAATGTAGCTGACGACGTTGACTGCCTTCTACTCGTATGAACTATCCATTAACTATTTATAACGATATGGGTTGGGAAAAATCGTCTTCCTCTATATATTGCTTTTATACTCGTCTAACTAACATAAAAAATTTAAACTACAAACATATATCATTGGTTAATATCAAGTAGATTGTTAATTTGAAACACTAGAACAAACAAAAGAATAAAATCTACTTATTTGTGTTGTCTTCTAATTATATTAAGCTGTTTTTAACCCTAGCTTCTCACCCATAACTAGTCTGTTTTCAACTGAAATCCCTACAAGTCATTCTACATTGTACATACAGAATCATAATCAATTTTCATTTGTCCCAAAAGAGACTGTGTGGGTGACGTATTCCGTGTGTTTCTATATCGGGCTCTTTGAAATTTCAATCAGCCGATAGAATACCAGTCTAAGATAGGCGAAAGCAACGCTACCTGATTGAAGTTAGCACATCAATTTAGGGATTCAACCTTCCGTTTGGATGTTGCTTGTTATTCCAATCTCTGGTTCCATTCAATTCATTCATTCCAAATTATCGTTTGTTCCCAACAATACAATGCATCACAATAATAATTACAATCGTATTTATATATTGATCTTGAATGCAATACAAATTCAATAAAATCCAAAATAATATATTCTTATCAAAACTTAACTAAAATTTCAATAATTATTTTACTGTTCGTAAATATAGCTATGAGAGTTTAATAATATTCCGTAGTTACATTCAAACAGTATCGGTAAGGTTAACTATCAACTGTCGAACAAAAAAATAGGTTAACTGTCAGGTTCAATTAAAAATATAGTCTTTTTATAAAACGGAAATTCCCGTGCCAAAACTGCCACATCAGTCGTTCTGCCAAACACCCTGCCAAGCTTTTAGCGATAATTGTGTCATAATTTCGAAACAATTATATTTTTACACGTAAAAATATTTCACATAATATGTATTTTCAAGAAACTATTGAGTTATACATATATGTATTATTTTCTAAAATAATAAAAGATGAGTGTACTTTGAAGTTCTAAGTAATAATAAAGTAACTTTCCACGCTGTACTTTATTTGCTTTAACATAAAATCTAATCGTTACTAGGAAGAAGCACGAAACTGAAGACGTTAAGTGAAAAGAAAACAAGGAAAACAGATGATGTATCCATGTTCGCTTTCTTCGTTATGTCTTCGATATGGGTTTACGCTCATTTTAAGACGAACTTTATGGCCATTCTCAGACGCCGTCGTAAAGCCCTTTATGAAATAGCGGTTAGGTTTCCTTATCATTGTTAACAATACTTAAGTTTTGTGCAATTATAGTTTCGTTGTGTGTTACAATTATTATTAAAAATTTGTTCTTAAACTTTCCAAAAACTTCATTTAAATCAGTAGCATTTTACTACCAACGACGTATTCTTATGCGTTTTAAGTTTAAATTGCATTAATTTACGAAGGCAAGATATAAAATAGACGTTCCGTGGCATCCGCAATCCAACTTTGTTGTAAATGTTAGAAGCAGCGCCGGGGGTCAAAGCCATCAAGAGCCTTGATGTTTGCCGCAATAAAACGAGTCCGCAATAACCTCCTCCTATAAGGACAATAAAACTAAATTTATAACTTCATAAATGAGCCCTGAAACTTAATAAGCCAAAAAGACACGAGATATAAAATTGATAGGACAAGTACAAAACACAATTCTGTTGTTCCAAAAATACAAGCATCGTAAAAGTACGTACGGAATAGTTTCTTCACTTGGAATAAGAATTTAAAGTTGACTTGTCTGGGTGTGGATTCACATAAATATATATATATATATATATTGATGGGTTAAGTTAAATCTTTGGTTCTCTTCAAGAAAAATGCGAGTGGGGACAATGGCGATTTGGCACAGTCAGAATATATAAAATAAGGAGTGCAGAAAACTAAACTATTCAATCTTTATATTTTATAACATAAAATAAATTAGTACTTTAGACTGAGCATCAATCTCGTAATATTTATTTATTTTTTATTTGTAGAAGAAGTATCCTTAGTGACACATTATTATCAATTTTCTATTATAATATTTCGGCACTTCATTATAAGCTTAACTTCGTTTTAAAAAGACACCAGTCACTTTTATTGTTAAATTTTGTAAAAATATTGGTTATTTGCCCATACCTGTAATACCGTCTTGTAAATTGTTTACGGAACGTTTACTTTTCCCTGGAGTTACATGTAACTTTGTGATCATGCATTGAAGATGCTGTAATCTATATGATATATACATTGCCTTAATATTTTTGTAAAGCGTATTTTTGAGGAAAAAAGGAAAATTAATGAAAAGACCATAGCAGTTATTTCAGAGTCTACAATTTAAAATCTCTCAACGAGCTCTTCACGTCACTTGAATCGAGATAAATCTTGCAACTTGTATAATATAAAGCGTGTCTTTTCAAAGTTTTTTAAACGGCTGATGATAATCTGGAGCATGCATTCGATGTTAGTGGCTATATCTGATCGATATCTCAGGAGGACCATTAACATATCAATGAAAAGGTTCTGGCGGATGGCCAGACTGGTTGAAGGTTTGGTATATTGAAATAAAGTGCACTTCTATGGTTTGAGTCTCGCTATCGACTTTGAAAATTGGGTTATATAATATACAGCTCTTAGAAATACAGAACTTATCTCAAGCCAACCATGTAGCACGCTTCAGATACCAGAGTACTTTCGAACCTTTATGCAATGTTTTAAATATCTAAAAATATATAAGGAAATTTTGTTTTAAAAAATAACTATAGCTTTGAAGCATAGTTAAACAAGAACGAAGATGGTTATAACTTTTCAATATATTTTGACTTTGTTAAAAAAACAACAAAGATGTAATATTTAAATTACTGAACCTTAGTTTGTAGAAAGGTATTTTTTGCGCAGTGCTAGGTCCTTCCTGTTTATGACTGCATTTTTATAAATTATGTAACATAATAAAACACAGGAGTGTAGGAGAAAACCGCATTCTTGGCAACCTACATTTTAACCGAGTTCCCGTTAGCTGATTGCAGACAAAGAGACTGGCGGGACTCCAGAGAAACCTTTGTCAACAAACATTCAGATTTTCAGTTCGTACTTCTGATATTATTGAAGTTTGCTAACCTTAAGTCCGAGTGTTACATAGACATATGTAATCTGCCACAAAAAATATTGTTAAAAATCTTTATACCCTTCCCTATTATAGAGCAAAAATATTTTCCGGCCCCTTACAGCATTAAATTAACGTTGGAACCCTTGTCTATATAATCTTGAAATGGGTTATATATCAACTTGACACTATGTCATAACCTCAAGGAATTAATAAATCATGTCACTTTAAGGTTAACTACACTATTCTTATTGAATTTTCTTGTTTCACGTTCAAAATAACGAAGTGTTTCCAATAATAACATGTCTCTGAAACAATATCAAACAGAACCAAAATAAAACAAAAACTCAAGTAAAGTGAAATCATTATATTCTATCGCATATAACGTTTTTTGAATCTATTCTGTTTTTCTTCGTATAAAAATATATCTCAGCCATAGTCATTGCTTTTTATATCAACGATCGTGGCTTCATCTTGCGGATTCGATAAACCGTGCCCGACATAAAGATGTTTTTTGTGTGCACGATATACAATAAATATACCTCCCCGTCAAACTACTGTCACAATTTTTACAAGCCAAACTCGTCCATAAATCTGCGTGTCAACTATCGTGTCATGTTATTGTTACTTCATTAAAGCTCAATGTAAATGTCAACACTATAATGGCTTTCCGCTCCTAGTTCATGTTTTCTTTATTTAGGAATATCTTTGACAAAAATATTATATTTTGAGGCTTTATAAGACACTAACGGTATTTTATAAATATTATGGGCACACAAATGAGATTAAGTTTGTCGTGTAAACTATTCGTTTAAACAGTTTTTGATATTCGATCTTTGTAAATTTACGTTTTAAGAAAATGATCCATTAAATGGTAATGGTGGGGACGTTATGTTTGATGGGATCGAGAGTCAGAATGACGATAGTTTTATAACTCGTACGGTGACCGAGATAACGACGACTTTACGATCAAAAATATTAAGATGATTTAATTTAAAAATTGAACATTAGATCTGGATTAAAAAAACATATCTTTCATATTGAACTTTGCTTAGCTCTAGTGGAATAAATGTTTTTTTTATACGACCCAAAAGGATAAACAGGCGGACGGTCTTCTTGATGAAAGGTAGTCACCGTCGCCCATGGACATCTGTAACACAAAGCGTGTTGTAGAAGCGTTGCAAGCCTTGTTTGTGATACCATAATATTTATACTCTAATAACTTTTTACAAAAATCAAACAGCTGATTTTATTACGAGTAATTAGTGATTATAATCTTCTAAATATTTGATTTTCAAAACCCGGTTTCTGATTCGGATGGAATGGGCTTACAATCTGGCCTTGACCCCCGCTCTATAAAAAAAGCTTTGAGCGGTGTTAGAAATGCAAGGTGAATGAAAATTTAAAAAATGAGAGGCTTATTTGAAAAGTGAAGTTTTCTGAAGTGATTTTTTTTTATTTGAGTGGATAGTGCTTGACTATCTCTCTACCTGGTTGTAGGAAATGAAGCCATAAACCTACCTTATACCATAGCTAATACTATAAGCCATAACTAACTGTATCGGTTGCCTTTAAGACGTCCAAAGTATAAATTGCAATTTGTGTGCCTTCAAGGACCTTAATAGACAGCAGTATTCCACACACGACCGGACCAGCGCTTTGTAAAGAGAGGGAAGCTGTCCAGGCGTGAAGTACTGCCGTAATTTTGGAAGAGCACCAAATTTTCTTGCAGCTACCCCAGCCTGGGACTCAATGAATCTTCCAAAGTTAAGGTACTTGGAGACCTCATTACCTAATGAATGTAGTGACTGGGTGTATTTTTTGAAAATATATACGAGTATATAAAATCTAAATTTTAGTTCAAAAATTGTTGTTAGTTTACAAAAAAAAAACTTTTCGCTAACGCAAGAGAGTTTAGAACCGTCTAGTAATTAGAGGAAAGCGTTCCCCTATGCATTTCATATTCATTATCTTATGCCCCAGTTAGCGTAATGGGATTTAATACCTTTTTAATATTAAAGTAATTAGGTGAACAATGGTCTTGTATTTATTTTAATGTGCTATATGGGGCAGGTTATTTTCTTTTGTCTTCATTATTATAATATAATTGCAGTATCGCAAGGGAATTAGTAATCTTATCTCCTATATGTTTTTCAATACTTTCTCACATTTTCTTTATATACAGAATTATATGATTTAAAAGAATGCAAGTTGATTTTTTAATAACTTTCGTTTTTCATCACTATGTTAAATGAGAATACATTAATATAAAATAAAATTTCGTTGCGATTTGATAACGCAAGAGAACCGTTTGAGAATAAATGAATTCTGGTTTTAAAGCAGCGTGTAATGTATGTACTTTTGTTTATAATTATATATATCTAGCATAAAAACTGACAGGCTTTCATCTTCAATCGCGGGCGCTGCGGCTGACAAAAGCACTCCAACGATGGCTGGCAATGCGCCAGAATCGCTATCAATTTGAAATGTTCATTTTGCTTTTATATTATTACTCGTGTATTTAACTAGATGTTTCCCAGATTCATACAACTTTAGCTCTAAGTAATTTTAAAGTATTTTAAATATAACATCAATGTTACCTAAAATATAAATAAAAATAGCGAAACCAAGCCAAGACTTTCGTATATTGCACTGATGAATACGGTGTTGAAAACAACTTATTTAGTATTCTCAAGTTTGGTCTCAGATGTGGTGAGGACGACTATTTTAAAATCGCTCCTTGGCAGTCGAGTTACGGGAGGAATTCATCTTAAGAATGCGAAAGTAAAAGATACAAAATAAAAGAGCAACGGAAACAACTGTTTAGTTTATTTTAGATGAAACTTAAATTAAATTCCTTACTGTATTTGTCAGACGGTGGCAGCGCGGGAATAGCATGGTAATTATCTTGTTCTTAGCGCTTGTAGTATATATATTCTATTTACATACCACTTATAAAGGCAAGGTTTAAAAATGTACTCAAAACTAAACTGGCGTACATTTTCCTACACGTTTATTATTTATTATATTCTACCTATAATGTGATATGACACTTTAATATGATTTTTCAAGGTGTAAATATATAAATATTTACTGTTATTATGAAATATTTTACCGAATAATGTTAAGATCGGACATGTGTAGCATT